GCACTTGGGAGGCAGAGGCAGGTGGATCTCTGAGTTCAAGGCCAGCCTGGTCTACATAGTGAGTTCCAGGACAGCTGGGGCTACAGGGAGACCCTGTCTCAAAAAGAGCAAAAAAAAAAAAAAAAAAAAAAATCCAAACAATTAATGAGAAGAATGTGGTCACTCTCCATATCACAAAGACTTTCAGTGTCTGGCCTGATGAATCCATGATGAATCCCTGTGCTCCGCACTCACGTGGCTGAGAGTGGGTGTGTTGGCTGAAGGACAGGCAAGACAGGACAAGCCGGCCTCATACAGATGGAGGTCCTTCCAAATGACAGAAGACTGTTTGCTTGTTTGGATTTTTGGAGATGAGGTCTTGCAGCCTAGACTGGGCACAAACCCTTGGGTTTAAATAATCATCACATCTTAGCCTCCCAACTAGCGAGGACATTAGGCACAGGAGGCACAGGCCACTACACCCACAACAAATGCTCTACATCTAAACAGGACGAGGGGCTGGAGAGGTGGCTTGGCAGTAAGCGCACTGGTTGCTCTTGCAGAGGACCCAGGTTTGGTTCCCAGCACCCACATGGCAGCTAACAACCATCCTTAACTCTAGTTCCAGGATCTGATCCCCTCTTCTGACCTCCACAGGCATTGCATGACATGATGCGCTTACTTAAACGCAGCCAATATACTCAGACATATAAAATAAAGATAACAAATAAAATACATTTTTTAAAAAGGACAAGGGCTAGCTTTAAGCTCCAGAGGCCTATTCTGAACTTTGAATCTTTGGCTCTGCCTGCTTGTGATGTCATACATCAAGTGGAACACACTAGTTCGGTGAGTTATGCTGCTCTTCCAAACACTGAAGCATTTCTTTACTGACTCCTCACTGAGCTGGGCAGGGTACCCACATCTTAAATCCCAGCAGTGAGGAGGCAGAATGAGAACCTGTCTCAAAAACAAAGCAAAACTACAACAACAAACCAACAGGGGTTGGAGAAATGGTTGAGCAGTTAAGAGCTCTGGCTGGTTTTGCAGAGGGCCTGGGTTTGGGTCCCAGCATCCATATGGCAGCCAACACCAGGGGATCCAACGCCCTCTTCTGGCCTCTGAGGGCACTGCATGCACGGGTCCACTTACATGCAAACAAAACATTCATATATGTACATATAATTTAAAAAATAAAACAAAACTACCAAACAGATAAAAAAAATTAATTCCACACTGGTAATGTTACCTCTGCTCCCACTGGAAGTGTTTAAGGACCAGAAAACTGCCAAGTTCACGTGGTGGACGTGCTACACCATACTTTATACTCAAAAGCACTTGTACCCCTGACATAAATATTGCCAGTTTCTTTCTCCGAAGCGACATGTCCACTTCACTCATTTCTGACCGACCTGGCAGCTGCCATCCCTTCAACCACTTGGGGCCTATCGGTCCAGAGCAGCAGTACTCCACGCACCTTTCCCACTCTGTGTGCTGGATGCTAAAGACGGGTACTCAAGGCTGTGACTTAATGACACTAATTGCTCCTCCATTGGTAAGGGACATTCTGAGTGACACAAGTCTTGGTCACCCCATGAGTAGATGCTACAGCCCCATCCCACACGGTGCCTACTATTTCATCCAGCAATGCTTCCTCACACCAGAGCGATGCCCAGAGTGTAACGAGCTAGTGGGGGTGGCTGCAAGGCCTGTGTGACCTGAGGAGCCCGAGAAGGCTGCCCAAAATGATGTCTCTTGTGGTCAAGGCTCCTTTCAGAACCTGGCAGCTGCTCAGATCGGGGCCACGCCTCCACCAGCCTGCAGCTACCCAGCTGTCGCGTTTCTGAGGCGCACATAAAAGGAAAAGTTCTTTAAAACACTTCCTCTGCTTCCCCTCAGAAATGGGAGGCCAAAAAAGGACAACTAGAGGTGGAGGCTGCTAATCACGTTAATGGTGTAGTATCCCAAACCAGTCCTATGAGGACCGGACACTGGAGGACACACTGGGCTGGTGGCACCAGGGCCGAATAGCCAGCAAATCCTGGCACGGGAAAGCAGTACGGTGGGGCCAGAGTACGGAGGGAGCGGCTGCAGCATGTAGTGACTCACAGCGACAGGATCAGAGCAAAGCCTCAGCGTGTGAAGAGAAAAAGACAGGGCTTGGAGACACAGACTGCTTCTCCCTAATGCTGTCCTTTGTAGCCCCTCAAGTTCAGTCAAAGGGAGTACAGAGACAAACACGTGGACAAAACCCCAACACGCTCTGAGGCCGTGCTGAAGCCAATGCAGGGAATGGCCATAAAAGGCATTTCTCTGCTCGCTCAGCCTTGACTGCATGTAAATAAAAACAAGAGCTTTAAGTTCAAGCCACTCTCGTGGCCAGGTGCCAAGACAGTGGGAAGATGAGCCAAGAAGAGGAAGCAGAATGCCAGGTCCCACCTGGCCGAGTGCTTTCAGATCCTCGAGTGGCTTGACCCACTGCTGCCTTCCAGGGCCCCTCGGCTTCTAAGACAGGTGAGATCTCCCAAGGCTGACTAAAGGTCCAGAGGACCCACCAGGGGAACCAGCAGCCAGTACACATTCCCCCAGGGCAGGCATGCTGCGGTCACACTGACCCTGGTCTGCTAGCAAAGTGTTGGTCCCTACACTCTGGGCGGGG